AAGAGCACTGGCTGCTCTTGCAAAGGACATAGGATTTCATTCCAGGCACCCATATCATTACTAACAAATGTCTGTAACTCCTGTTCCACGGGACTTAATGCCTTCTTCTGACCTCCAAGTAGGCGTATGTTGTATATAACCACACATTCAGGCAAAACACCCATACAGGCGTGGTAGCATGTGCTTGTAATCTTGACACTTGGGAGTCTGAGGTAGAGGGGATTGCTATAAATTTAAGGCCGACCAGGGCTACATAGCAATATTCCTGTCTGCATAAAACAAAAGAGGGTGATACTAGCAAATACTTCATGGTTGTCCTGGGGTTTCCCTGAGGGCCTGGGTGGGTGACTCACATTCCCAGAGAGCAGGCTAGTTACCATCACTGCAAGACAGGACCTTTCAGTCAGGTTCTCACCCCCTTCTGTCTTCTGGAAACTTCTCAGCTTACGAAGCGTCTTCTCACAGATGTGTCTCTCACTGCAGCCCACAGGCTGAAGAACTGAGCCACAGAGAGAGGAAGTGACTAAACCCAGGGCCCTCTCCTTCCCCTCCGTCATCATTCCCTGACAAGAACTCCCTGTTCTCCTTTCTACAGAAATTCCACTTTAGGGTCACAAAGCCCTTAGGGTCCTGAAATGTGCTGTCACGTGGACATCCTACTGTCTACCCACCATAGTCCTGCCCTTCATTTGCTTATTTATACTTTTAAATTATTTTAACTTACATGTATGGGTATTTTGCCTGCATGTATGACTGCGCACTGAATCTATGTTTGTGCCTGAGGAAGACAGTATCTGATACCCTAGGACTGGAGTGGACTGCTCTGTGGGTGCTGAGAATTGAACCTGTATCCTCAGAAGAGCAGACATAGGTTTCTTGACAGCTGAGCCATCTCTCCAGACCTTCTGTTTTTGTTTTCTGAGCTAGGGACCCATGTAGCTCAGGCTATGTAGCTGAGGATAACCTTGAACTAATAATCTTTTTATACTACATATTCTGATCACCGTTTCCCCTCCCCCAACTCTTCCAGAGCCTTTTCACCTCCCCCACCACCACCACCTTCATACTTGCTTTCTCTTTCTCTTTCGAAAAACCAACAGGCAAACAAAAAAGCCAAACAAACCAGAGAAAAAAATTTTAAATACAAAACCAAAAACCAAAAACCAAAGAAAAAGCACAAGGGGCAAAGCAACAACAACAACAACCATAAAAGCAGAAAACAATACACAAGCAGTAAGGGGGGGAGGGAAAGCCCAAACAAAGCAATATGAGACAGACCAAATTCTACAAAAATACACTGAGTTTGTTTTGTGTGGGCCATCTGTTGCTGGGCATAGGGCCTTCCCATAAGTGTGGTTAATATACCCAGTAAGACTATATTGGAAAAAACTAATGTTTCCTTCGCAAGTGTATGTTGCTTGGAGACTTCCCTGGTTAGGGATGGGAGCCCGTGTCCACTTCCCCCTGTATCAGTGGCTTCTCCTCCCTCTTGCATCCTCTTGCATCATGCTAGCCTGTGCATGCTGCCATAGACTGTGAGTTCACATGTGTGTCAGCCATGCTGTGTCTGGAACACACTGTTTCCTTGGTGTCATCTCTCCCCGCCTCCTCTTACAGTCTTTCCTCTTCTTCTTCCTTCCTCTTCCTCATGGTTTCTTGAGCCCTGAGAAGGAAGGTTTGATGAAGACATCCCTTTTAGGACTGATGGCAGTTTTAGGGACAGGGTTTCTCTATGATGCTCTGGCTGTCCTGGAACTTAATATGTAGCCCAGCCTGGCCTCAAACCTAAGATTCTCTTGCCTCAGCCTGGGTTTCAGGTATGCCATCACACCAGCACTTTCTCTCCTCCCCCACCCCCACCTTTCCCTGTGTCTGTTGCTCTCTAAATTATGAAACTGTAAGATATTTTAGCATGGTGGGTTGTTGTAAACATTTTTAATCCCAATCTGGGATTTCTACCCTGCCTTTGATCATTCAGTTCCCGAATAAAATGCACACAACCTTTATATCTATAATAAGCCTTAAACAGCACAAGAGTTGGTCAGATATCTATTCTCTGTTATTAGAATCTACTTTTTATCACTATACCCCGAGTTATTTACTTATTTTATTTATTTGGGTTGTTTTTAACTCCAATTGGCCAGCCCTCAGGGCCATGGTTTTTTGACCCCCTAACCCATGGCATCTAAGTCAGTGTGTCTTTTATCAAAGGTGGGGTAGAAGCACCAAATTGAGATTAAAAATTTCTACGACAGTGGGCCTTGTCTGCAATTCTAGCCTTTTGCAGGGAGGTGGATAGAGGCCTTGAGGATCAGGAGTTCAAGGCCAGTCTCAGCTACATGAGACCCTGGTTAAAAAAAAAATAACAGGGCAGAGAGTATCATGAGACACTTTAGGAATCAGTGCATCACCTTTGCACGGACCATTCAAATCTCTGTGTGACTGGTTGTGATTTTACTACATGGACTTGTTATGGAGTTTGTGACACCTGGGGAAAAAACAATAGACCCAATCCAATTATAATTAAAAGATTTATTGGTTACCTGCTAGCAAGATGAACAGTTTGAGGTTGCCATGTAGAATGGATATGGGGAAGGGCTTTTTTGTTTAGTAAAGCAACTTTTTATTGATTTATTATTTATTCTTATTTTAAGTACATTGATGTTTTGCTACATGTATGTCTACGTGAGGGTGTAATACATGTATGTCTGCGTGAGGGTGTAATACATGTATGTCTGCGTGAGGGTGTAATACATGTATGTCTGCGTGAGGGTGTAATACATGTATGTCTGCGGGAGGGTGTAATACATGTATGTCTGCGGGAGGGTGTAATACATGTATGTCTGCATGAGGGTGTAATACATGTATGTCTGCGTGAGGGTGTAATTCCAGAACTGGAGTTACAGATAGGTGTGAGCTGCCGTGGGGATGCTGGAAACTTACTGCGTCCTCTGGGAGAGCAGCCTGTGCTCTTAACCACTAAGCCACCTCTCCAGCTCCTGGGGAAGGACTTCCCCAGGAAGACTCTCAGTACCTATGCAAACAAGCAAAAACTATTCTGCTCTGCTGAGTTAAGTGGTTAAGGGAACTCAAAACAATCTTTGGGTATCTATGTAAACAGTTTCAGAAGCTAAGGGGAAAAAAAGCAGTTACTCATATCATAACAAATAGAAAGTCACCGCTGTACATTTTTAGGTGGCAGTCAGGGTCAGGGTTACTGGGAACGCATCTTCCAGGGACTGGAATCACAGATAATCAGCTAGTACGTATCAAGATGGACGCATAACAGAAAATGGAACTTCTTTAACCACAACAGGCTTCAAAAACAGGCATGCAGACAAGGCCTTGATAGAAAGCTTCAGTGAAAGCAGCAGCAAGGGTTCTGGGAGTCTGCTATTCCCAGGAACTCACCTCTACAGAAAGAGAAGATTCATTATCCAGGGAGATCCAGAACAGCTTGGAGGTAGAATCACGCTTAAGGTCCTCAGGTAAATTACCTGAATGAAGGAGAGATAAACCAGGTATGGTGGGGTCGAGACTTTGGAATCCACTGGGAAAGACTAAAGACTTAGATTATACGAATTTATTCTTACTGCTACCAGAAAGACCACAGCCTTAGAGTCAAACATCACGCCATGCAGAAGGGGGTTATGGTGAGGTCTTAAGGAGGACACCAGAAAGATGTTGTTAATACTGTCTGTGGAATCCACACTGGGCAGAAAAATGGTTTAGCTTCCTTGGTTTCTTATTTTCCAGCTATACAGTAATAAGAACCCATCTCACCCCTTTCACACAGCAATTAGCAACTTTTCCAGAAGCAAAGGCAGCTGCTAGGACTGAAGAGATAGTTCAGTCGTTAAGACCACTGACTAGGGGGATGGAGAGATGGCTTGGTGGTTAAGAGCACCAACTGCTCTTCCAGAGGTCCCGAGTTCAATTCCCAGCAACCATATAGTGGCTCACAACCATCTGTAGTGAGATCTGTTACCCTCTTCTGGTGTGTTTGATGACAGCTACAGTGTACTCATATAAATAAAATAAGTCTTAAAGTTTTTTAAAAATATTTATTTATTTATTTATTTATTTATTTATTTATTTATTTATTTATTATATATGAATACACTGCTGCTGTAAAGGCAGCCATTATTGCCTCATGGCCCGTTTTTCTATCCTAATCTCACCTGCAGGCCGCTAGGCTCGCCTTGCACATGGCTGTAATATTTTTAATGTTTTCTGTGCATTTGCACTTCCTTACTGCCAAGCCCCTCACCCCTACCTCTCTTACGCCCTACTGCATCTCCCAGGAACAACCTTTTGGCCCCTAGAGCCTTTAGGGGGGTATCTGGCTCCATAGTAAGTGTCTTCAGTCATCACAGGATGTGTCTGGGTTATTACTCAGCTCTGAGAGCTTTAGTGACTGGGATAGAGCAGTTCAGTTCTGAGCAGGAGAAATCACAGTGTCTTGAGGCTAGAGCTGGCTGTCACATCCCCACACTGGCAATGTGACCCCAAGATTTAAGAGATGCAGGTGGGACGAGGAGTCACTCAAGGCCATCTTAAGCTACACATAGCAAGTGTCCCTCATGGCCCCTGCTTCATGTCCTGCTTCCAGTTTCCAGCCTTGACTTTGTCCTGACATTCATCAGTGATGGACTTAACCTGTCAGATGTAAACCCTTTTCTTTCCAAGTTGCTTTGGTCATAGTCTTTATCACAGGAACAGAAGTAAATTAGGACAAGGAGGTATTGGGGTGAATATGATCAGATGCATTGTATTTGTGTATGATAATAGTGTAGTAAAGTCTATTGTTTCAAGTACTTAGCATATGCCAGCAAACAAAAAGCTTGAATGTGTAAATGCACCCAAAAAAATCATAAAAATTATTACAACTGTGTTCAGCAACCTGCAGCCCGGGGTACCTGTCAGGTCAGACTTACTGCAACTGTTATATTTCTAAGGCAGCTTAAAGGGACAGGAGGCAGAAAAGACAGGAGCCTGACTTTCAACAGTTAAGACACACTATATTTATTAGTGCACTTAGCAAGAGGCAGCCTCTCTCCCACAGGAAATTGAGGGGTCTACAGAGGGTAGAGGGAGCTGGCTGAAACCGATTATAGGGTTGGGGTGAGGGGCTTGGCAATAAGGAAGTTGTTATTTTCCAAAACAAAGTATCCTTTCTAGGATGCCCATAAGACCAAAAGGTTATCCATAACCTTGTAGGAATCTTGTTTTACAGGTGAAGGAGGCTACGTGCCATCTTCCAGGGCCGGCTGTCTCCTCCTGGTTTTCAGGATCCTGCCTTCCTGACAGTCTCCCTGAGCTCACAGCTCCCTAGGGGCCTTAGATTTATTCCTTTGGTCTCATGTGATCCTCTGGTTCCCTAGACCCCAGTGCTCCCACCGTGGAGGGGCAGTAGAGGCCCAGCTCCCGGGCTTCAGAGAGAAACGGAGTGGGCGGGGCTTCAGGGCGGGGAGGGGCCTGAGGGCGGGGTTCTGGACTCCGAGAAGGAAACCTTGAGCAGACCTTTGGACTCAGCTCTGCGGGAATCGCTTCAGCAGTTGATTCAGACGAATCCTCCAGGCATAAAAATCACAAAAGAGTTTTTGTTAGATGCTGATTGGGGAGGGAGTGGCTGAATGAAGTGGGAAGGGGAGGCCAAAGCCCCGCAGATTGAGCCAGGGGCCGCCTGGAGCTCCCTGGAGCCGCCCAGAGCGGCCCGGAGCCAGTCCCCGAGGCTCTCAGGGCTTGGTGAGAGTTGAGAGTCCATCCAGTTGGTCCTGTGTGGATTCACCAAGTAGTTAGTTGCTGAGTGCAATATTAGCCAAACCTCTTCAAAGGTTTGAGAAGTGGTTATCCATAACCTTGTAGGAATCTTGTTTTACAGGTGAAGGAGGCTACGTGCCATCTTCCAGGGCCGGCTGTCTCCTCCTGGTTTTCAGGATCCTGCCTTCCTGACAGTCTCCCTTTGCCCTAAATAAGGGCAAAGTCTGGGGAACAGCTCCTGATAATGAAGATTAAACTGTAAATTACTTTAAAATACAAGGCAGTTTACCTTCAATTCCAGTACTGCAGAGGCAGGAAAACCAGTCTGGTCTATACAGTGAGTTCCAGGCCAGCCAGGGTACACAATAAAACCTTGATTTAAAAAAAAAAAAAGGCCAAGTGATAAATATCCTGATGAGGGAAAAGGAGTGAGAGAAATGGCTCGGCAGTTCGAGCACTTGTTGCTTGAGCGGAAAGTCAAGTCACAGTGAAACAGCTGGATTAGACCACTCCTGTGGGTGGGAAAGAAAAAGTGTATTCAAACAGCCAATGCTATCTCTCAAGGGTCAAAAAGGTAGGAAAGCCTTGCGGTTACAAAGAGGGGGATAGCTTCCAGGAAGAAGGTATTTAAGCCAGAACAGCCTAGAGGTTCAAAGTGGTGGGAGGGGAGATTTGTGGGCCAAGAGTCCAGAGGTTATGTGCTACAGTTATATGTCAATAGGGAACTAGTTGCCACATTTGCCCCATCCGGTAGGGAAAGATTAGGGAAATGGCTCTTCCTGTCAGTTAAAAACCCATTTCATAGGTTTCTGGAGAATGCTGAGTGTAAGCTTTGTTTATCCACAGGCAAACTTTTGTTTTTCCCTGAGTCCAGCCTGAGCTGAGCCCAGACTGTCATTTGAGGACACTATAAGGAATGCTGCCGTTTTTTAGGGTCTTGGGTATTGGGACCTAACATTGCTCTTCCGGAGGAACAGGGTTTGATTCCCTGCACCCATACAGCAGCTCAGAAGGCTGAGACTCCAGTTTAGGAGATCTGACACCCCTTCCTGGCCTCTTGGGGTAATGCATGTTCACGGCACAGGAGCAAGCAAAACAGCCACACAGACCAGGCTGGGCTCAAATTCCTAGAGATCTGCTGCCTCCATCCGCCCCTGTGAGGGCCATCAATAGGTGATAGATCTTTTAAAAAGAAACGAGGTAATGAAATAGGAAGGATGCTGAGATGGGTTAATGCCCAAACCTAGAAAAGACAACAGAGGCTATCTCTCAAATAAGTAACTGCACTGACTCCTGAAAGGCCAGGACTCAGCAGTGTAACTGTTGGAGAATCTGGCTTAAACAAAGGCCCGAGGAGGTATTGGTCTTCATGCAAAGAACAGAAGAAAAGCTAGTAGCACAGACCGGAAGTCCCAACTGCTGGGGAAGATGTAGGAGAAGGGACCCTCGAGCCCCTAGGGGTCCAAGACCAGTCTAGGAAACATTGTCTCAAACAAAAACTAATCCTGAAAGCAATATCTCCACTTGGGAACATCTTCATTAAACACTGTCTAATATGAGGAAGGGCCTGGCTTAGAACTTCAGCATTATAAAAGACACAAACAGGCAAAATGGAAAACTGGGCACGGTGGCTCATACTTACAATCCCAACACTTGGGAGGCTGAGGCAGAAGGACTGTATGAGATTAAGGCCGGGTTGGGCCATTGAGGGAATTTCTAGCTATCTGGGGGTATCTAGTTGGGACCCTATCTCAAAAAACAAACAAAAGCAAGTAAATAATAAATCCCACCCCTGCTGTAAAGGACTCCCTGTAGAGGAACAGATGGGAGGAGAGGAAGGTGCTGACGTCTCCCCATGGCCTGGTCCTGGGGGAACCTTCTCTGCATCCCTAACATGACTTTCTTACTCAGGGTAGACAGTGATACAGCTCCCTCCAGGCCCTAGGGTAGCCCCAAGTTCCCCTGACCCATGCTCTCTTACTTCAACAGCAAGGAACTTGTAGAAGCCTGTGCCTCATCAAGGCCTGTTTCACACAGTTCTTAGAGAGATCCCTACACAGTGATGCGCTTTGCTCAGATCACCAAAGCCACCATCCTCCTCTGCCCACATCCTGGGCTCCACTGAGCCCTCACCTTTTTGGGAAGAAGCCAAAGCTGGCTGGCCTGGCCTGCTGTCGGCCTCGCGTACATGCTGCTAAGTTCTGCGCATCAGTGGCTCTGTGAAGGGCCTGCGCAGAGCTCACAGCAAAGGCTCTCCCTAAGGTCCACATCCAGCCTCCCCATAGCAGGAGGCAGGGAAGAGACTGTTCTCTTCGACCTCCTGAGAGTCTTGGCTTGGACTGCTGAGCTCTGGCCAGCCCTGAGGACCCATCTGTTCTCAGCCATCAGACAGTAGCAGCCACCAGCCTCACTTGGTATTCAAACCTTCAGAAACCTGAGGCCATGTTGGAGGTATAGTCACTGATGACAGTCCCTAACAAGGTGCAAAGCATAGGGCAGCCTCCAGGCCCTATGCTCTGTCTCAACAAAACAAAAAATGTTTAACGGTCAATTAATGAAAGACCAGCTCTGCCCCCAGCTACCACCTAAGGTCTGCAGGGCATCCTCTTCTGAGGAAGAGGGATGAGAGCATACCCCCTCATACCTGTTTAGACAAAGTGTTTTAATGTCAAGAGTGGCAAGATGGCTCAGTGGGTAAGTCCTGAAGGCCTGAATTTGATCCCCAGGACCCACTCAGTGGAAGAAGATACCCCATTCCTGAGAGCCATCTTCTGTAAGTGGTGGCAGAGCTGGACCAGAAGTGTGCAGACCAATGTTCTGACTCCAGCTCTGCTCTCAAAGCCAAGGCTCTTCCACGGATCCCTCATCCCATTACTTTGTGATTCCATTTCACAATGTCCTGAAGATAATGAAATGGCAGGAAGAAGCCAAACTGCCCTTGCAAAGCTTGGGTATGTGGCTGAGTGACAGAGCAATCCCTAAGCACGTGAAGGCTCTGAGCACCATCCCCAGGCCTTCTGAGTTGACAGAAGGAGGACAGAACTTGGTGTGGTGCCATACTGGGGAGCATACCAACTGTGGGCCTCTCTGAGTTTCTATTTATGGCTATTGCCCAGAAGTCACTGGATTTAAGTGACAGTCATACTTCTGAAAATGGTCACCTACTTCTATCCAGGTGGCCCGCATAGAGGTACCAGTCCCTCTTGGGGTAGAAGGGGAAGGGAGAGCAAAGGGGCTAAATAACCCGCAGGAGGCCATGTAGCTAAGAGGGGACAGTGTAGAACATAAAGGACTCAGGGACAACTTTGCTTTTTGACACTGGCCTGGGTTGGGCTGACTCATGAGAACTTTTAAAGGGGAAACCTAAAGAATGACTCCCAATACAAAGTTAAGTAGCGTGCTGGGACTTGGTGGCAGAGGCAGGAGAATCTTTGAGTTCAAGGCTAGCCTGGTCTACCTATCGAATTCCAGGGTAGCCAGGGCTACATAGAGAAACCCTGTCTCAAAACAAACAAAACAAAACACTAAAACAGTGGTATGGGGGTGGGGGAGAATCCAAATCTCCCTAAAAATCCAGTCTCTTGACTGTGGGCTCCTGGGACATGTGGAAGACCCAAAAGTTACCTTATCAGCCTCACCTGCCCAAGGACCAGGTAACTTCCCGGGATGCTGGAAGCCGTAGTTCTTAGAAAAATAACAAAGCCGCATGGGAAACAACTGTGACCTTATGGGTTTGTCCTTAAAAGCCTTTGCAACGTGTATCTCAGGGCCATTGCTTCAAATTTGGCTCAAAATTGTGGAACTGGTGTTTTCCTTGTGACTCTCAGGATTAACAAATGAAAAATAGATTCTATATGTTCTCACCAAAGGGAAAAACCAGAACACAGTAAAAATAAAATCAAAACAAAACTCCAAAAGTGTAATTATCTTGGTTTCCAATGTGTGGGGCTTACTCAAGATCTTCTGGGCTCCGAGGCCTCGGATGGCTTCGCTTCTCTGGCTCTGCCCTCTGCAGCCCACGTAGCTTGTCTCATAGGCTCAGGTGAGCTCCACTCAACAGCTGCTGCTGTCCTGGGGATCATTCCGTGGTCCTGGCCTCTCCAGCTTGCTAGGATCTCCACTGCAGCTGATACAGCTTCACCAGTGCCCTGACATGGCCTATCTGCAGGGACTCCAGCTGCATCTCGCAGTGCCGAGCCTCAGCTGCTCTCTGCGACCTCTTCATGCCTTCGAAGCCAGCGTCACCTGAATGACTCTCATTCATTTCCAAGTTCAGCTGTCAGCATGAAGTGCAGCTGTGGCCCCCCGGACCACAGTTTTCGTGTCCTGACCCTGGGGAAATATTCCCAGAAGATTTTACCTCGATGATGCTGGTCTCTTGTTAATCACAGTCCCAGCTGACCAGTGTCAATTGTCCCAGGAAAGGCTTCATGTTAGTGGTTCTGGTCTTTTATTAGTTTTAGCTGGCTCTTCAGTCCCAGATGACCAGAATCACAGATTCTTAATAAATGCATGAATGGCCCTGACAGAGTCTTCACTTCCCTCTGAACCGTCATAAGCCAGACCTCTACCATGCACACTCCTCAAAGCATTACCTTGTTCCTTCCCACAACAACCTACTAAGTTCTGAATACTCAGTGGCTTTTCTAGCCCACAGTTCTAAAGTCCTTCGAGGACCCTCCTCACACTGTGGGCGGGCCTATCACAGTCATTTCCCATGAGTCTGGTACCAATTTCTATTTTACTTTGCTTTATTGTGGTGAACACCATGACCATAAACAACTTAGTGAGGAAAGGGTTTATTTGGGTCAGAGGTTACAAGTTCAGCATCAGGGGAAGCCAAGGCAGGAACCTGGAGGCAGAACCTAAAACGGAGGTCATGTGAGGTGCTGTTGACTGGCCTGCTGCCCCTGATGTTCTCAGCCTGCTTTCCTATACAACGCCAGGACCACCAGCCCAGTGGCAGCACCATGTACACAGGTGGTGGGCTGGACCGTCTCACACCAGTCACTAACCAAGAAATGACCCCACAGACCGGCCTACAGGAGAATCTGATGGGGGTATTTTCTCAGTTTAGGTTCCAACTTGTGTCAAGTTAACAAAAAACAAAACAAAAAACATCTGTCCTGGACAATGGGGCAGTGAACTCCTGGACTGGCAAGTCAGCTGTCATGGGGAAACAAATCAGAGTGGATTTGTTAGAAAGATCGGTTCATGTGGA